AACTCCTTTAACAAATAAAAGGTGTTAAAATCTGAAATCTGGAGCCGATTGATGCTGCGGCAGCATGAAGGAAGGGAAGAACGATGAAGGCTAACGCTAACATGCTAATGTAACCCTTGTACACTAGGTGGAGTGTTGTCTTGGAGTTAGTAGTGGATTGGGCCAATATCTAGGTTTGTAAGGAGGGTAATAAGTTACAACAGAAGGTAGAAGAATGAGTGGAGCCACAGGTAACTTTGATTAAATGTATTGAACACTGTGCACAAAAATAAGCATAAACAATACATTCAAAATAATTAGTTAATTTCCCTGTCTGAGCTCAGATTTTATAAAAGTCCTGCCGGCATATGTCAGTTTAACCAAGTCAATTCCAGAAGTGTTGAAGTGTAGTACGGTACCGTCCTACCACACAATTTTAACAGTTTGTGTTAGAGAACTGCCTGTTCCCAAAGCCAAGGGTTGGTTCAGTTCAACTGGGAAGGTTCGCCATCTCCCTCGTCAGGGAGAGAATCCAGATCCACGATGGTAAGTTCCAGTTCCAGGCACCAATAAAAGGAAAAAAACCTAGCCGAGCGCCTCAATATTCATAAGCCTTTCACGAGGGTGACCACGTCTCACACATTCAGATCCAGTTTCTTCCAATTTCCTACACAACGAGGAGGTCCGGTCCGCTTCCCGCTTCCCCCAGTTCAAAGGTTTTTAATGGTGATCTTGAAGCAGAGACGGGTCGGATCGCTCTCTCCTCCGTGTTCGAAGTGGATTTTGGTTGAAAATGTTCAGTTTTGGTTGTTTAGTAAACTTTTCTTTTTTCAGGTTCAATGTTCTGTGAACGGGCCTCTCGCTCCGGCAGAGAAGAAAGTTAGAGCCGTAGAGGTGGGTGGGCTTAGCTCTAGCAACCAAAGGGTGATCGGCTTTTTCTCTTTGGGCCTATGATGGGCCTTCACAAGCTCTATATTTTTGATTGACACATTTACTGTTGAATCACAATGCTACGATAGAAAGAATACAGATTTTGGATACTAAAACCCACTGGGTTACACTAACATTAACAAGATGCATGAGTCATTCTGGTTTCCTCCTAACCCCATTTGGACCAAAGTGAATTCTCTATTAACGGATCCAAACTCAAAGCGTCTACTGCTTTCTTTAAGAAGTCTGAGAAGTTCTGGGTCCGCCGTCATAAACAGGCGTCAGACGATTGCCGAACAATTTAGAGAACGAACAGCGAAGCTACGCAGTCGCCTGTATGTGACAAACACAGCAGACTTTAAAACATCATGGGTGATGCTGCATGTTGACTTCATTCTGGATCCTCTCTGTGAATCGAACCTCTGATCAGCTTTTACAGCGTAGGGCTTGTCCCACCCTGCTGATCTGCATGCGACAAACTTTCCATGGATTCCTATTTTAATTTGGGCGTATACATGAAATGCACAGGCATCATTTCATGGACATTACTCTGCATCAGTTAAAGCTGCTCGCTCAATAGCATTCTCGAGGATCCATCACTCACCTTCTGGCTCACCCTATGATGCTAGATGCCACGACTGATGAGGAACTGACACTGAACAGATGTCAACGTGTGCCAGCGTGCTTCAGCCTGCTCATAACTTATACTAAACATACTATGCTAGCGTTTTTGCGAGATCTTTCCTATGTCAGGCATACACTGGTCTAAATCATCAAGATGTGACAGGGGCTTCATTGGTTGAACTAATAAATTTTGCAGAATGGGAGAATAGAGATAGAATGAAGCAGAATGATGAAAAGGGGTCCCTATGTCTTCCAGCAGTCTAAGCCTATAGCAGCAGAACTATGGAGAAACTGAAAACTGATGAAGTCAGTTTATTGGATCAGCTGCTCATAGACCATAAACCGTTACGTACGTAAATGTATCAGGTAGGAGAGTTTCCCCAGCAGAGCTTC